GCAAAGAAGTTTACGAAAAAGCGTGATGCAGTTACAGAGTCGTTATTGTTGTTCAGGTAATCATAACTGACCCTATTGATTTTTGTCCTTCTCGTTACCGTCGCCATCATCATGGCTTAATTTTATTTTACTTGTTATTCTGATTGTTTTGATACTGAAATCTTCATGTTGAAGATAAAGTCAATCAAGTCTTAATTTTTCACACTGCACCGGATGTCCGGTACCGTATGAACATGACCTGAGATCAGGCCCAATTTTAGCGGTTCTCATACATTCTCTCTAACGGCTACCGCCTTGCCCGCCGGAATGTTATCACAAAGCGAAACGAAAATTGAGCCTGATCTCAGGTTATATGAACATAGCTGAAGTTCGCTAATCTTGATAGTACAGTGGTGGATTTAGGTGAACCCCCCCCCCTTATTTTAGACCAAACTGAGGCCCGAAGGGCCGAAAAAAAAATTGAGACCGCCCCCCTATCTCAGGGTCTGTATCACCGCCCCCCCCCCCCCCCCCCCCCCCCCCNNNTCCCGCACATTTGGCCGCCCCAGTGTGCGCCGAAGGAGGCAGAAAAAACTCGTTGGCCCCGCCGCTGTCTGTGGTGTTTCCTCCCCCCCCCCCCCCCCCCCCCGCCCTTATCTGAAGGTCGGAATTCGCCATTGTAGTATACTTGCTGCTGTACATGTGCTCCGTTGGTACTTGATAGGGATAGTCACTGCCCTCTTGATTGTGGCGAAAGTGTATCAAAGGAAATATCTCCATCAATAGCTATTTTTTTTAAAGAAATAGACTTCTATTTTAGAAAAAGCTTGTGGCTTCTAACTTTTATTTCTGGTACACGTATTTACGTTTTTATTCCCTGTAAATTTATCTTTGTGGTTTTCAGATTTTAAATTTTTAAGTTTTTAACTTTAATATTTTTTGAACATGTATTAATATTTTTAAGCTCTGTTATTAAATTATCTTGGTTTTTATAGTTTTTTCTTTTCACGCTAGCATAAGGATTGTAAAACGTCGTGAAAGAGAAGCTTTACACCGCGACAGAAATTGTTGTAATCCTGTGCATTTCTATTTGCTACTGGTAACTTAGCAAATACAGAAGTTACCGAGTGGTGAAAAGTTCCTTCCTCCTCGGACTGTTGAAGCTGATCATCCGAGGTTGTAGGCGCTAACATTATGCAAAAACGATGATAAATCTCGAGCTATAGAGAAAATTTAGTTATTCGAATTTATTGGCTCTTCCGTTTTGGTCTTGGAGTAGGTTCTTATCGAAGGGCCATCTCTAGACAGTAAAACGACAAGGCCTCTTTTTAAAGTACTCTGAAGACTGTGTATTTAGCTCTCTGAGCCTTAAAAGTTCATCTGATTCTAGCGAAATTCTACCTGAAAGACTGAACCTTGAACATAAAGCTACTATGCATGACGTTATGTTGTCAAACGTGAGATAATCAAAAAGCTGGTATGGCTAGAAGGTTTGGCTTTATTTCTTCGTGCGTCCCAGTCTTTGAAGACACTGTTCTTAGGATTAAATAGACTATTTAAGACTCAGAGATTTGACTCTGTAATCATGATTAAACAGTTTCGTTTCTATAGTGAACTTGTCTCATTTATTAAAGGAAATGCACTCCGATCCATTTAATTGTCCAATTACAACCCACCCGTCCACCCCCAGTCAAGCTTTACGCCACAAGGACAGGAGGGACCAGGCTGCCTTTTCTCGAAAGCCCGTCGATATTTCGATAGCTTTTTGGGTAAAATTGGCAAAATAATACCAAAAAACACGAGGTTCGTTATCATTTTCACTGCGAGGAAAACTGCTTCTCGAACTTAGCGAGCACGAGCTATTTTGAATGCTTCAGTGTAACCGTACCAACAATGATGAATCTACCTTTTATCATCCTGAATGTAGACTGGGTTTTTGTACGAAATCAGGTATTGCGGTGCATAAATGAAAACCCCACAGCTCAGCTGAGTCGATCATCATGCTATATATTAACTTTCCTCTGTCTTTCCCTGTTGCATCTGGTGCAAGTTAAACAAATTGTTAACGTACAGCAAATATCAACTCACCAAACGTTGATTAGAAGGAGATCTCTAAGGTTTCCTCGGAGTTTCTTAAGAAAATGTGGCTCATCGAATACTAAATAGTTACGAAATACCAAGACTTTTATCATTATATTGTGGTAGATGGTTGCATCACCATAATTCACGTGCGATTCTACTCAATGAAACAGTCCTTAACTCCGTCACAACTTAATAGGCCATTTCCGAGTTCCCCCGGGCCTCTTTATCAAAACGAGGTTAAGTGCCAAGCCTTTGATACGGTAGCCCGCGTAGCAAGCGTTTCCTCGCGAGGTTCGTCTAGAAAGCTGGGACAAGAGCAAAAAAAAAAAAAAAGACGGAGGAGGGGGAGGGGAACGAACCTTTTTCTTGCTTCCGCTCTAACTTTCGCGCAATAACTCGATTGGAAACGCTTGCTACGCAGGCTATTGATATTGAAATGATTTTTCATTCTCGTGCAAATAAGACTCATTTTCACAAGAAAGTTTGTGCACTTGGCCTTATTTTGGAAGTGAGGGTTACTTTGCTCAAACGATTTTAACAAATCACCTCCTTTTCTTACATCTGCAATAAAATTATGCATCATTCATAACTTTACTTCCAACAGAATCATTGTCAAATTGCTGAAATAGTGATTTCTACTCATTTCATGTCATTCCACTCAATGAAACAATCTCTAATTATTTCGTCTACTGGCTACTTCCAAGTTTATTCGCTAACGCAATTTACCCATCTTTATTTAGCCATTAGGTAAGTTAAATTCTACGTTTTAATTTCTTTTATGACAACAAACATCTATCAGATTTGGTTGCACTTAAGTTGCCGGAACGTGAATTTACAGAAGGTCTGTTGAACTTTGTACGAGAGAGAATAAAGCATGTTTACGGAATTAATTTACTCGCTACAGCTTTAAAAAAACCAGCTCTTGTTCAAGCTTCTAAAAACACAATTACGCATACTTCCAAGTTAAACTATGACTTTTTGTTCTTCACTTTGAAGCAGGTAAAACATAATTTACGTACGTTGTGCCGTTAGCCGAATTAGGTCATAAATGTCTTGAATATGCTTAACCCATTCGCCCCTGAACCGCCCGTAACCGCCCGTGCGGATCCAGGTCCTTTCTACCCTTTGTGACGTCATCAGTTTTAACGGTCAAGGACAACTTTCTTCGGTAACTTGTGCAGAGTGAAGAGATCTTTCAAACCATACCAGAATGACCACAATTCAGTCAAGGACACCGGAGAAAGAAGCAAAAAACCACGTGACAAGGACCTGAAAATCTCCATGAAAATCTTGTTCCATTACCCACCTACCTTTCCTTTCACCTAATCCTAAGATCCTAAAAGCTTTCCTAAAAACTCTTCCCACCAAAATGAAGCCTACTAAATGCCCAGCAAGAGAAAAAAAAAATGAGGCAAGAAAAGCGAAAAAAGAAGGGAGGAGAGAAAGCGAAAAGTAAAAGTCAAGACTGCTGTGTCACTTTTAAACCCAAAAAATTTTGCTTTCTGCGCATGCCCGAACTTCGCAAGCTGATATTTTGCATCTGGATCAGAAGGCCGCCAAGTGTACGACCTGTAGACCGGTTTGTGGTAAGTTTTAGCTCTTTATAGCACGACAGTGACCAGAAAACCACTCGACTAGCTTCAAAACGCGTTTTTCGGCAAAATCTCCAGGAGCGAATGGGTTAAACAGCTGCATCATTGTACTCAGCGTTTGAATCATGAAGATATTTAAATATGAGGCTTCTAAACACCCTTAGCCGTAATAAAAGACGGTAAATTCTGAAGAACCAAAATGGCAGTTTCAAAGTGCCCTTGTTTGACCTTAAGCGCAGCACTGTCATGTTTAGATGCCAAAATCTCATTGGTTCCTTGCAATCAACTGATAGTACCTTCAACCTTATTGGCCCCTGCAACACACATCCGAACAGACAAAGCCACAAAGCCACATACAGTTGACTCCCGATAACTTGAACCCTCGCTAACTCGAACCTCGCACTAACTCGAACCAAAATCGATTTCCCCTGGATTTCCGTGTGTACATTTACTGTAATTTTACCCTCGGTAACTCGAACCCTCGATAACTCGAACCTCCCGCTAACTCGAAGTAGTTTTTGTTTCCCCGCAGATCATTTCTAAATAATTTTACCCTCGATAACTCGAACCGTGTTTTGAGCCTTTAAAAAGTCGAAGAAAAAATAGTCTACTGGCGTCCGAAACATTGAATTATGAATTTCCCATTGACGTGTTGTAGGAGCATAGTTTACTGGCTAGTGGAGGCTGATGCTGTTTGTCACAAATTTAACGTGAAACAGTTTTTCTTTTCAAAACAGCAAAACAATACCCGAGGGGTAGCAAAACGAATGCTCTATTTAGGCAATGTTTTGTTACGTTACGTTCTGATTTACAATCTGGAAGTATCATCTTTTAATTTTCACTGCAATTAAATGTGATTAGAATGTTCACTGTGTAGTAAAAACTGTTTTTTCCTTACTCCCGGCTATTTTCTTCGAACTCCCTATAATTCGAACTTATTTCGATTTCCCTTGAAGGTTCGAGTTATTGGGAGTCGACTGTACGCTTAGGCCGGCTGACAATTATATGAGCTATTTTTTTGAAACTGCTCAAAAAGCAGATGGCAGGCAGTGAAACTAAGCTATCCAGTCTTGTTTTGGGATCGTCTGTACCATAAAGATTTCCGAATGAAGCTCGGACTTTTACGGCCCCTCACAGTGGATTTTTCAGGATTTCTTTTTTAATTTTATAGCGCGATATTAAAAAAAAATTAAAAAAATAAGATTTATTATATTTCTCAACTGTGCAGCCTTGAATTTGCTTTTGAATGTTAGTCAAAACTAACAAAAAGCTAAACATTTCAAAATTTCGAAGGACGCACATCGAGTGAAAACCGAACCCCAGGCCTCCTGGGTACTCGGGTAATCGGCACCACGCCAAAATGGCGGAGGCTTCAGAACCGGGTTCTATTGATTTGGCCTCATTGTTGAGAGCAAATAAAGTCGAGGCGCTTCATACTACTGCCCTCTGTGGTCTTGTTAGATTTCTTGTATGGACTAGACTTTCTGAAGAAGGTTCCTCCTGGATTATTAAGTAAGTCTTTCTTTTTTCCAATATTCTTGCCATACTTCTTATATAAATATCTGTTGTTGGGACGTCCCATTTTAAAATTAATCCGACCCCTCTCTAAGGATGAGCAGATTCCTACCCATCGAGTGCGGGCAAATAGCCTATTCCTTCAAGTCAATCGTGGAAAAATATCCGATTCCTATCAGTCGAGCGTGGGAAAACAAGTCCAAATACCTCGCCGCACTTTTAATTCTGAACGCTTAAAGAACGACAGGGTGTGGATGGCTGAACACATGCAGTTCAAACGTTTGTGGATTGTTACAGATTCTTAGCGGATGTGAAGCTCAAATTTTGCACGCACAAAATATATTTCTAGGACACAACATTTATGAGGTTAAATGTGAGATTTTGATCGTTTACATGGCAACATGGCTGATTAAAAACAATTATAATATTTTGAATTTATGAGGTTTGCACAAAATGAAGGCAAAAGATTTACTTAAGAAATTGCAAGCAGCTTACAAATTGATAACCTTCATTTTTAAAAAATCAACTTACTGGCTCAGTTAATTCCAAGCATGCCCCACTCCTGGGAATTAGTCAGGCATTGGTCATTTTCTTTCAAAAGGTGTGCAAGCAAGTGGGGGTGGGGTTGATGGTATGCTTGGAATTGACTCAGCCATAACCAAATTATAACAAACAGTTTTTAAAATTTAAAGAAAATTGCTTTCATGAGAACCTTAATAATATTGTTGAAACTTGAAACTTGTGAACTAGGGTGAGGTTTTTCTTTGGGTACTCCAGTTTACCCCTCTCCTAAAAAACCAAAACTTCCAAATTCCAATTTGATCTGGAAAGCACGGACACATTTCAACAATTTTTTAAGAACTCCTAAGTGCTTCAGTGATAAACAAATTTTAAAAAAATCTACTAAACTGTCCCATGCACATTTTCTTTTTTCTTTCTTTATAAGTCAATAATTTTTACAGATTTGGATTTTTGAATCTTAGATTTCTTGGTGTTATTTTATTTTCCTCTTTCGATTTTATTTATTTTTTTTTTTAGCTATTTATGAGATAATTACAGGACCCTTTTGATAACAGTTCTTTTTATTAGGATTGATAGGTCATCCTGTATAATTATTCGCATTATTATTATTATAATCATAACTATAACAAAATTGTCAAATCGGATTGGCTATCAACTGCCCTGATTTCAGCCTTTAGCTTAATTGGACAGTTTAATAGCACAGTACGCGTCATGCCTAAGTAATTGGACAGTACGCGCCATCACGCACGTGCTTAAATGGCTTTTTTTTCATTGCTAGCAAAACAAAATTTCGGAGTTTCTTGTGTTTTGATTTAAAAAATAGCCTATTATATCACAAATTTTGTTAAAGTTATGATTAATTGGTAACAGAACTTCGTGTCGTCCAATTCAGGTCTGTAATCATACTCGTGATTAAACAAATCGGACTCCCGCTACGCAGTCGTCCGATATTGTTAATCACTCGTATGATTACAGACCAAATTGGACTCCACTCAGTCCTGTTACCATTACTTATTATTATTATTTTGCTGGTACCTGCTTCTTTCTCATCCCTTTGGAGTACTCTGCTTCATGAAGCAGCAATACATAATTTTACAGCTATGCCCTCACCTTGTGGCTAAAATGAGGTATTAGTGCTTATTTAAGTTTTATTTTACCTGTCAAGCACAAGAAAATTACCAGTTATCTCAGTTTTTAACTGATTTCTAATTCTGGGTAAAAATATCCAAGATGGCTGCCAAGAAAGTGGCCATGTTTGTATACCTGCCAACTCTCCTGGTCTTCCCGGGAGTCTCCAAATTTTTCATCAAATCTCCCCGTCTCCCGGTTAGAGCAGCAAATCTCCTGTTGCCTTTTTCAAAATTTTTTTTTATTAATTTCGTTATTTCTGAAATATCAAAAAGGAAAATAAAACAAGAACTGGATTTAGTGCTCTTGTTTGAGCTGTTCTCGATCGAAAAACATAAAACAGAGCAATCAAATTGTAGTTGGTTAGAAATCAACCAATCACATTGCACAATAAATGGTAGAAAGTTGGCGTGGTTTTCACACGCTGTTATCGACATCGGGAACATTCGGAAGGCCTTGGGGTGATTTTCAGAGAGTATTCGGACATTGTCAAAAATGATATTCTTACAATGCAAAGATTTCAAGACGTCTCCAGATTTTTGTACTCGGGGGGTTGGCAGGTACATGTTTGGTGATGTCACAGGCTCCCAGCAGTGCCACCACCCATAATTAAAATATATCTGATCTTGCTGAGAAGATATTCGCTTTCCAGTGCAGGTAAAATATTTTCCAAATACTGCCACAGATCAAAAACTCAAGGGAAGGGTTCCTTGGACAACAGTGGGGGATGATGTGGCATTTAATATGTTGGAGAGTTAACATGTAAAAGAAGATGTTTATAAATACCTTAAACCTTTACATGGGAAAAAAACATTGTAATGTGCTTTTGTTTTGCTTTGACTTTTAGTGCATCTGATGGAGTTGATGTGTGGCAGTTACAACTGGACAAAGTACAACTCGATTCCCATGTAAGATAACTCTGAATAATAAAACTGGTTTTGTACATACAGTCAAACTTTTATATGGCCCTGTCCCATAATAAAGTGACCAGCTATTTTAAAACACTAAATTTTTAAGGCAAAGCCTTTTGGTTAGAATCACTTGTATGATGTCTACCTTTCTTAAGCAACCACAAGCAGTTTTTGTGGTGTCTTTCAAATTGCCTTAAAAGCTAGTAAAACTTAGTAACATAACCCTAAAACGAATAAGATCACTTATTTTGGTTGTGGGCACTTTTTTGAGTTTGAGTGGAAGGGGGAGGGGGTGGGCGCTTATTACTTTTTTCTACTTTTAGGATGGGCACTAATGCAAGGTAGGCGCTAATTCGAGATTGGGTGCTCGTTTGAATAAATACAGTGTGTGTTTGTATCAAATACATATCTTGCAGAAAGAACTGGCTGCAGTTGATGGATATGACACTTACTTTACAAGATTTAGGTGAGCGTGACAGAGAACCATACAACCTAAACATTCTGTCCAAAAACATCAAATTAAAATTTTTTGTATTTTGAATTTTCCTTATTCTGTTCCCAAGTGCTTCTAAATATGCTATTCATCACTTAAAGGGTTTGGTTCAAATTTCATTGCCTTATTACTAACACATAATTTTCAGAAAGTGAAAAAGAAAAAAATTATATGACATGTATTAATCCTTTATGGTTCCAAGAACACAATTTATTATATAAACGCCAATGAAATACCAGGTGGGCTTTTGCGCAAAAACTTGATATCTTCACATGTGAAAATAACGTGTTATCTTTAAATGTGAAAATATCACTATTGCTATGGCTACATAATAAATCGCGCCTTTCACACCAAAAAACTGTTAAAGTGAAATGGTTTGGTATTTAATTGGTGTTTATATAATAAATAGAACATTACATGGCTGCTTGAAGATACGAAATTTCTCTTCTTGTGTTGAGAAAATATTTCACGAGTGAACGCAGCGTACGAGTGAAATATTTTTCAACACGAGAAGAGAAATTTCGGATCTCCAAGCAACCATTATATATCCTTTCCTCTTTGAAGACTATCAATGGCATTTTTCTTTAATTAGCGTTTATGATTAATGTTGATAGCAAATAAAAAATGTTTATGGCTTGTTTGTCCCAAATTTCCTAGTGGAAGGACTTTCATTGGGGATTATGAGTATTGGAAGTCACTCCAAAGCTGCAGCAGTAAACATTATGATCAATTTTTATTATTTAGGTTTTGTAATTTCTAGCTGTTTTGTTGGTGGACATCTTGAAACAAGGGAAACAGTTGTCTGCACAAACATTTGGTGGCTGCGGCAAATCGCTGTAGGCTAAAATAATGTAATCAAATGCAAATGCTAAACATTTTCTTTGTATTGAGCTGGCTATATCTATTGATATCTATCAACTTAGAAACAAATCCAATTAATAACTCCAAAATTTTTTGGAGCCTGACTTTTCGAGAAAACGTCATCAGTTGCCAACACATGAGAGCGTGAGATAGTCGTGAAATCGTGAGACTCACGACCTGGCAAGTCTGAAACTAGGGCTAGCAGACAAGGTCAGACAAGGGAAATTAAGAATCAACCTAGGTAAAAAAATTTTAACTTGAATGTAATTTTGACCCCTACTATATTGATACATGACCTTCTTACACATTTACATGCAACAAATTATCATAGCCAAGGGAAGGTGAGGATATACACCAGACCATACCACTGAATTTAATACTCAACAGGTCAGAATTTGAAAGTGGCAGCATATCTGTAGCACAGATAGCAAATAAAATTGCCATGACAGTTGGTACAGGAATTCCATCTCTGTGTTATGACCTCTACGAAGCTAAAGCAAGTGAAGGAAGAAAAGAACTGCTGACAATTCTTTTCAGACTGGCAGACAGAGTATCACAACTTACTGAACAGTTGAAAGGTAGTTATATCAATGTGGTGAAAATGTTGTAGGTATAGTAAAAATTAATGAATAATAATGACATTAAAAGGCAAAAAACCGTAGGAAATTCTGAATCAAAGCAGGTTGAATACTCAGGTGTTTTTAAAACAAGTAACGAACTCAAAATTCAAGCAATCTGCAGTTCAATTTTTCTTCTACATAGGAACATTAACGACCATTTTCCTTTTAATGTGTTAACTACACACAACAACCTACAGTGGCCTCAAGAATTTTGCACAAGGCAGCATTGGTAGTGGGGCTCCTCATTAGAGATTAAAAAGTAATAATATTATTATCCTTTGTCCACCATTATGAAAGTGGTTTTATTCTTCTACAGCATCAGCAGATTCACTGGAGAGACCAAAAAACCAGAAACTGGTGGCAGACCGAGTATCACAACTCACTAAACAGTTGAAAGGTATTTCTAACAATATGGTGGAATTGTTGTGGGTACTAAAAATTAATGAATAATATTAAGGCTAGAAGACATACGAAATTCTGAAGTGGCAGGTTGAATACTCAGGTGTTAACTTAGAAGCAGTTTTTACCTACGACATATAACTCCATGTTCTTGAACTTTACATTATTTCACACAATAGTCATGCATATGTAAATTAATGTCGGTGCATTTTATTACAGTCAACTTGACTCTCTTAACCAACATGAAGACGGACACCTCTGTAAAAGAGACAGCCAGAGTTGGTCCCGACCTTTCTTTACTTCCTGTTCTTTATTCTCTATAAGATGGACACTTATAATTAGCAGGGTTGTCACTAAGGTTTCAAGTTGCCAGGTAAATACAACAAGTAGGCGGGAAATCAAACAGCTAGGGGTTTCTTTTGGTTCTATTTTTCTTCTGTTTTCCTTTGAAATATGGTTGCTGGGGGCCACATTCATTGGAGCTAGGGGTAATCCCCACCCCCCACCTCTTAGTGACAACCTGGCACTTAGTACTGGTCCCAAAGGTGTCCTTCTTAGAAAGACTTAATTAACTGTATCAATTCTGTTTTTAGCAGCTTACATATGGTCATTTTCTAGCTTTCTCTATTAAATATAGAGTGCATCATTATTTTGAAACAAGTAATTAACACAAAATTCAAGCAATCAACTTTAAGTTTTCTTCTACATACGAACATATGACCATTTTCCTTTTAATGTGTCAACTACATGTAACAGCCTTCAGTTGCCTCAAGAATTTTGCACAATCTAACATTGGTAGTGGGACTCCACATTAGAATTGAATAAAAAAAATATTATTATTTGTCCACTATTATGAAAGTGGTTTATAAGTTTTATCTTGCAATGCTTGCACTGTTCCATTCTTCTTCAGCATCAGCAGATTCACTGGAGAAACCAAAAAATCAGAAGGTGCATGGTTAATGTTTATTTCACTTGTATATATTTTGCTTTGTTATTATTATTGTTGTTGTTTAATAATTAATTAATTTTTCTATCGCAAGCAAAAGAGACAAAGATTGTACTGAAAAACAAATTTGAGAAAAGTTGCAGCATAATCACTTGCAGCGGCTTAGTAATTTTTCATGCTGGGTTTTGATTAAGGGTGCATGTATGCAAAGGAAACTTTTTGTATAAAAAAGAAGGAAGAAACTCTGAAGCACGTTTTCATACTCTGTTAATATTAATAAGATAATTTTTTTAGTGTTAGTTTTAAGAATCAGTTACAGAAATACATAGCTCAACCTATTTTGAAAATAATGCTGCATATTTCATTTTTATCTTATAAGGACGGAGTTGCAGCTTGTTCCTCAGTCTGTAGTGAGTATTCAGAGAATTAACATTCAGACACTTTAAAGAAACTGCACACTGTGCTAATTGTGTAAAAATTGGATGTAAAAATTTTACAGACAAAATTACTCCGAGGAGATTGTGTTAACTTGGCCATGTTGACATCTTTAATTTGGCAGGGTTATTTTTGTGAGTTGCCGAAAATGTGGGCTAAGAAACTGTTCCAACATTCTTCTTAACATTAAGGCACTAACATGATGGAGGTCAGGGCTGTTATTACCCTGCAAGCAGAAGCTTCACTTTTGTGCACTAGGTTATACACTGCAAAAATGTAGCCTCTGCTTGTAGTGTAGGCTGTCATTGACTCCTGGCTACTTTCATTTAGAAAACAGAGAAAAATAGAACCAAACGAAATCGATAAAGTTCAGTTTATTGATATTTCCCCACCTACTTGTTTTATTTACCCAGAGACTTGACAATCTTAGTGACTGCCCTGGGATGATTGAAAGGGGGTAAAATATTAAAAGCCAAAAAAATCCCTTTGACTTCGAACAAAAAAATCCCTGGACCGAAATATCAAGGTACCCCCCCAAATTTGCCAAATTCTCCTAACCCCAAAACCATACCGGATTGAAAAATTTCAAACCCAAAAAAATTAAAATAGGAGTAAAGTATAATCAATATCCAGATTTTTAAAGTTTGAGGTTTCATTTGGACTGATGCCCATTTATATCATTGTGAAATGACGATTTTTCTGTTTTTCTGTGAACTGTTTAATAGATATTCCACCAAAGAAGACCAGCCAGGCTCCCCCTGTTAAAAGGAAACTAGAGTACAGTCTTATCAATCCAGGCAGCAAAGAGTAAGATTTTACCTTCTTTTTGAGTTCTCCCAGGGGCTCACTCCCGTTGACCCCTGGGGGATTTGCTCAAATTTATGAAGTACCTGGGCAAAAAAACTATGACAAATCATTACCCTCTAAGGCAACAGTAGGGCACCTGTGTGGCAAACCTCGTCACCTTTGTAAGCAGGCATTTGTAAGTTATATGAGTCCAAGAAAACCTTTACTTTAATGTACCTGTGTAGTACACCTCCAAATAGTGCGTGAAAAACTGGTCGAATAGCGATAAATAATCGATTAATAAGGGTATTACGCTACGAATAAATATGCCAGATGCCGTCTAAAGTTTGACGCGGAAAGAGGAAAACAATTAAGAATATATTTTAAAACAATATACGTTTATAACAATTTTCAATTCAATATAACCACACACAAAGTTAAAGACAAGGGTACTAAAAGAATACAAAAAAACTTTACAGTTCTCTGCAGTTTCTGTTTTGTGCAGTTTGACTTAAATACCGTAGGACTGAATAATCTTCAGTTGTTTTGGCAAAAGCACGCAAACCGATATACGTATATGAAATGAGTGTATCCTTGAAAGACCAATCTACACAGAATTAAAGTTGTCGGAATCGTGTTGTCATTTTTCATTTTTCATTTTTTTGGGCGGCAATTATTTATTTCCAATGCTTGCGTACTGGAAGGTGTATTAAGGTGATTCCATAGTAAAAGAACCTAACATAGATTTTAGCTAAAACTTGGTACACTGATGTAACAAGTCAAGAAGATGATAAAAAAGTAATAAAAAGTGGGGGTCACCGTGCTCGTTTTGACGTCACAATGCTGACAAATACGGCTATTTAGGACCCTTTCACAAAAACCGCGGGCAACGCAAAACTAGACAAAAAGGAGAGATTTTTTCGATGATGCATGTGACATCACACAGAATTTGACTTATATGTATTGTTTATCCACTTACGTACCAGAAAAATGCCTTTTAATGCCCTTGTTTTGACTTTACGGTCCAAAATAGAATTAAATTGGACGCGCGCTTTTCGACCCGTGATGGCTCAATCCGTACAATTTAGTAACATTGCCAAAAAAATGAACATAGATTTGTGCCAATTTTTTTCGCATCGAAAGGAAGCACTGTCCTTATTAAAATCATGAAATAAAAAATGGGGGTCACCGTACTCGTTTTTGCGGTAGAGCTGCACAAAGTGCGCACCAAACGCATTTTCTCCGATTTTTGAGAGAGGACTGGGGCGAGTTTCAAAATAGAATGTATGTGAAAGGGGGAAGAAAGTATTAAAAAATCCGTTTTTTCAGAATTTACATCGAGATATCACATTTAGGGCACAATGTGATAAAGAAAGTGTTTAAATGAAAATCAAAGTGAGTAAGCACAAGTTAAACATCCACTATCGAGGTTCTCCGAGAGGAGGTCCAACTCAGCAACACGCGTACTGCTTACGTTATGCAGATTCCCAACACATTGAGTCTCACCTCGGCAAGAAACAACAGCAAGCAAAAATTCCAATAGCGTTTCTCTTCAGTCAACTTCATTTTAATAATATTACTTCACATGCTCTTTTTTACGGCAGCCACCTTGTTATGCGCAGTAAGAGATGCGCAGTGCAAAACTAGGGAATCACCTTAAACACGGGATCAGACGTATCGATCTGTTGCGTCTCCTTGCCTCGCGCTTCGTTCAGGAGAAAGATGTCATCACTCCACCTCATTTTCTCTCCGTGTGCATCTAGGCTTGATGACAAAGACGCAGCCTCTGAAGGATCAAGAAAAAGAAACAAACTACCAGAAATGTAAGGAACAAATTTTATAGCCTGCGTATATGTAGCTTGCGGTTTTTATCAGTTTTTTTTTTCAATCTCCAGCTCATTTTCTCTCCTTGTGCGTCTAGGCTTGATGACAAAGACGCAGCCTCTGAAGGATCAAGAAAAAGAGACAAACGACCAGAAATGTAAGGAACAAATTTTATAGCCTGCGTATATGTAGCTAGCGGTTTTTATCAGTGTTTTTTCAGTCTTCAGCTCATTTTCTCCTCTTGTGCATCTAGGCTTGATGACAAAGACATAGCCTCTGAAGGGTCAAGAAAAAGTGACAAACGACCAGAAATGTAAGGAACAAATTTTATAGCCTGCGCGTATGTTAATGTAGCTAGTGGTTTTATCCGTTTTTTCTGTCAATCTCAGCTCATTTTCTCTCCTTGTGCATCTAGGCTTGATGACAAAGACGCAGGCTCTGAAGGATCAAGAAAAAGAGACAAACGACCAGAAATGTAAGGAACAAATTTTATAGCCTGCGTATATGTAGCTTGCGGTTTTTATCAGTTTTTTTTTTTCAGTCTCCGGCTCATTTTCTCTCCGTGTGTATCTAGGCTTGATGACAAAGACGCAGGCTCTGAAGGATCAAGAAAAAGAGACAAACGACCAGAAATGTAAGGAACAAATTTATAGCCTGCGTATAAGTAGCTAGCGGTTTTTTTGTGTGATTTTCAGTTTTTGTTCGGCCGCGCGCGAGGTCAAATGAGAAAACGATGGGGGAGGGGGCAAGGAGGAGAGAGAAAAACCGCCAGCATTCATCTCCTTGACACTTTTGAAACGCTGGCGTTTTTTCTCCCTAGGGACCTTCGCTACGACGACGGCAACGGCAGCGAAAATTTCACCCAAAAATGGGATTCGCGCTGTTCCAAATTCATCGCTCTTATTCAAACTCTTCTAGTGTCAGGTTTTGTACCAAACCTGACATTTTATTGATAACCTTTTTCAATCCAATATAATCACACACAGAAAGCCTATTGAACACGTGTCTATCTGTTTAGTCTCCTTGTCCCGCGCTTCGTTCTCAAGAAAGATGTCAACTCCTCGAGTTCTTTTTGTCTCCTTGTGCATCTAGGCTTGATGACGAAGACTCAGCCTTTGAACGACCAAGAAAGAAAGAGAGACGACCAGAAAGGTTAGAAACAATTTTTACGATATGACTGTTGAAGGAACAGGAAATTGTCTCCTTTCAGAGACCTTTTCGAAGAACTCTCGTTACTTAGCAGGCTCTTAAAGGTGTTCACCTTATAGGGGAGCTGTCGCGCACGCTTCGCGCGCGCCAGCGGAGCACCATGGGTAAGTAAATCTACCCATCCCAGAAAATTTGGTAATCACGTGACCGTGCACCGACCGACCGCCGTCGGTCCGCACCACAGGCATACCAATGTGAAATAACTCAATCAACAGGTATGGCAACCCAAATGCAACTCGAGGTTATTTTTGCGGGAAATCGCATAGCCACTCGCGTCTTGTAAAGCAGAGATAACTAAAGAGTCAAGGAAGACGAAAACGGAAAGCGGAAATTGTTTCTGTACCAGTGTTGTGTAAAGTATTAAGCTTAGATTAATTGTCATGTCCACAAATTTGGAAGATAGAGCAAGAGAAAGACAGAGAAAAAGAGAAAGTAGGCGGCAGGCAAGGGAAGCTCAACGGGAAAAAGGGCGACAGAGATCTAGGGCGAGAGATAAAAAAAAACAAAGGAGGCATTTTTTTGTTGGAAGAACAGAAAGGAAATTTTGTAGCGGCGGTGACAAAATGAGAAATGCTACCGGCCACCAATTCAAGGTGGAAATGAGCGGCAGTGGAAAAAAAGTGAACGAGAACACGTACGACATGTCCTCCAAAATTTCAAAACGTGTAACTAAGAAGTTTCTGGAAGTTTCACGTTGTAGTCGTGCAAAACAACGGCAAAGAAATGTACAAAAAAAGTGTGCCGCACTTGCAAAGTTGCTTTTTTCCTCATTAGACCTAATGTTGTTTTTCACCGTTCTCCGGCGTTGCGTTCGCCGCTTAGCATTACACGATTTTATATTTTGTTTGAACAAACTTTAAATATTATCGACAGCTTCGCTTTTAGCCCTGGCTAAATCTATATATTACAGAGTTTACTGCTCAAACTAGATAACAATTATTCACTGAAGTGAAGGTGGCTAGTGGTTGATATTCGGCTGAAGATTGAACTGCCAGCTCCTTAAGGTAGGCTGCCGAAATCAATGCCGTTAAACGTCAACTAAAACCCATCTCTTCAAAGAACCGTAACTTTAAAAGTTGTTTAACTTTATTTCATTTTATTAGATATTTAATTAACCTGATATTAGGCTCTATGTTTGTTTCGCTTGGTAAATAAAATTCTGATTTTTATACTAGCTTGGGCGTTTCCCTCTTTTTCCATCATTCTTTCTTGTTTTTATTAATTTATTAATTTGTGTTTTTTAGATGGAAAAGAAACGTGCGCAAGAACGCCATTGTACATGGGCTGGAGCGGAAAGACGAAAAGGGAAACATTATCCCACCAAGAACCACTGGACCACCGTGTAAGTGCAAAGAAAGGTGCTTTGAGAAAGTGGACGACAAACTTAAGATGCACATTTTGACGTCATTTAACAGCATGCCTGATAAAGCCAGACAAGATCAGTACCTTAGCGGTTTGGTCCTCAGCTTTGACCCAATCTGGGTTGGCACTCAAGGAAGGGGAGGGAAATTCTCCGAAACGAACAAAGGAAAAAAGCTGACCACTTTCAAATACTACGTTCCTAAAGGTAACTTCTTTGAAGAAATCCACGGTATAGACTGTTCACAGTCCGCTATTTTCCCGTAAGCTCGTCGACATCGAGCGCTTTCCTGAGGAGGGGGGTGGGATGCTCAACCAAGTTTTATATGGGGAGGCTCCGCCCCGAGGTCCGATCCCTTACCCTTTTATATACCATTTTTGACAAATAAGGTACCCTTCCCCTACAGGCAAATCCTTGTTTACATTTTTTGCCTCATTAGCATAGGCTTATCATTATCTAATGAAGCTAATAAAATGAAATTTTTGAATATTGAAAGAGCCCGATATACCAAATAGTTTGGGAGAAATTTTCTTTTAAAACCCCCAAAATTTACAAAGAATGTATGAGCTCATTAATGTTTTGCCACCCAGTAATTTTGCAGTGTTTGATTGCTGCTATTTTCTTTGTTTCTGATTGCAAAGAGCTGAAGCTTGCACAAACCTTACTGCATAAATTAACCAGCTCTTTCAATTTTTGAACCTAATTGCCGGTAATTGGTCTGTTAACTCTATGCTTATAAGCAAAAATGTAAACAATGACGTCACGATGAACCCGCTTATACCTTCTATTGACAAAAAGTACCCTTCACATACCTAGTGTAGACTAGCCTGCGTAGCAAGGAAGAACGGGCGCGCGAGAGGGAGACACGCTTGTCTCCCTCTCGCGCGCCCGTTCTTTCTTGGGTCTGCTATGCAGGCGAAGTGTAGACCTTTGCATACCCTTTAAGTGCTGTTAATATTTTATCTTTCAACACTTTCAAATATTGCGTTCCTGAAGGCGGAGTCTCCCCTATAGGCACTTATAGAGAGTACCCCCGGCCACGGGAGCGTTTTTGCCATTACCGGCGGCCATCTTGGTTCCAAATGTACCGAGAGGGCGGGCCCCTGGGTTCATAGCGGTGGGGGAAGGGAAGCGCCCCGAAATTTAATTCTTATCCCCAGGCTAGACATTTAAAAACCAAGATTGCCGCCCCTAACGGTAAGGGCTTGATCTCGACGATCGTGGGGGGGGGGGGGGGGGAGGGGAGGGCGGAAAAAAAATTTTTTTTTTTAAAAAACTACTTTTGGGGTGTTTTTTTTGGTTTTTTTTACTGGGACAAAAAAGAAGAATGTTGGTACCGTTTAGAATTAGCCAAAACAAAATATTTCAGGGTTAATTCAACTCACTGGAAA